TATTTGCATGAAGTTGTAACTTTGTAACAGTTATTTTTAATGATTAATAAAAATATCGATCATTTTAAGTTACGTCACTAGTTCGAGGATCATTAAAAATAACTTTTTTTATAAAAAGTTAAAACTTCATGCAAATATTTTAAGAAAATTACAGAGGACTTCTTATATGATGTACTTCAACGCCCTTCAAGCTTTATTTGTATTTTTGTAACAACCTCTGTATATACTAAAAAAATAAATGAAAAAATACGCTGACTTTATAATTTGATATGTCTAGTTTTCAAAACACCCCTTTTTTATTGATTTAGTGCCTAACTTGGGAGATAAGAGAGATTTTATATTGTAAAATGGTCACATAGCGGCCTATCGAGAGTAAAGCACTCCCACACGCTTACGCGTTGTGAGGCGTGCAATAGTCGCATTTATTAACGATTTTTACGTCATATTTTGACGGATCTATTTGACCTGTTGTGTGAACACAGCATTATTTTGGATCTTTCTAAATAACCTGTTTTAGTCAGCAAAATGCATGTTAATTATTTATACACATCTTTATTATTTGTTTGAAAAATTATACATTTCGTGAGTACTTTTGTTTTGTTTATGCTTTGTTAAAATATTGAGATTTGCTCAATGTTTATTTAGTCATAATAATAAAAAAAACCTATTTTTATAACGCAACAATTGAAAAATGTCGAACATAATTTCCATGCTTCATGTTGGAGTCTGAATTATTAATTGTGTTTGCTCAAACATTGTATTTATAGACCTAAATTGAAGCACTGAATGGTGGCATTTGTATTATTTCTTTGCGAACATTGTTGAAATTAGATTTAAGACTAACAATCTTTTGTGTTATTTTTTTGTTGACTACCATTTTATACATGTTACAGAGCCTATAAAAATATTGTGCTATTATTAACTATGAGAATAACCGTATGTGTACATATATTTAGAATGATATGTGTAAATAAGACATATATGGTATTGATTAAAGATACATGTTGAATTTATTATAGTTGTGTTTTAATTGTCGTTTTTCAATCTCAGCTCCCTGACAAGCATAATTTTATTTACGTAAGTACTGTCTTATTGACACCGCTCAAATGGCAATTTAACTATTCTTATTTTTTTTATAGCCAGGTAAGTAAGTTAGTAAGTCCAAACGCGAATACGCATGAACAGCAGTTACAAACTGCCACACCAACCATTCTCACCTTGCCGGCCTGCAAAAATGCTTCTTCACGCCTCTCTTAAAGGACCGCAGATTGTAGGACGGAGGGAACACGTGCGCGGGCAAAGAATTCCACTTACAAATAGTGCGACAAAGAAATGAGTCACCAAATTTCTTTGTTCGTGTAGGATTTTATTAGGATTTCTTTTTGATTTGGATGTGGTGGGGGTTACCATACTATAAAGACGTTTTCATAATATCTGAGTACAGTAAACGAACTTCTATTTAGTCCGTCAGTTAGATGATCAAAAAATAATGTACAAGTATTTTTTCTTTGGGCAAAAAATGACAAAGTTATAGCGCGTCAAACTTTGGGAGTAGGGGCTCGTGACGTCACTTTTGAGTGAATAAGTGTACTCAAACGTGACGTCATGCGAGTTTTTAAATCAATTTATCTCTGCAATGTTTATATTATGTGAAAAAAGAAAAAATACGTGTCCAATACTGTTTTATAATCTACCTGATAAACGAAGAAAAAAAAATTAGTCATCATCCATATTCATTCGTGATGTCTGTCCGAGTATGATGCACGACGCAAAACGACAGTACGTAGGCTTGTGGGACGACAATAATTACATTCACATTTATGAGAAGCGACTCCCCCGATGAGACAATGAACGGGTGGCAGCTCACCCTTATAGATGTAAAATGGTGGCAGCTCGCCTTGACAGACACTGGTGGTAGTACGAACGGGCAGGCACTGGGCGCATCTCGCCCTGACAGACACTGGTGGCAGCTCGACTTGACACACATTATTTGAGGCAAATCGACCTGACAACTTGTCCTGTATAGTAGTATCTGCATACTAGTGGTGGCTCGCGCTGACAGACACTTACAGGTGGTGGTTCGCCTTATTTACAGTATCGGAGGGTAATTTGTCATGATATCTACATGATACAGTTATAGGGTCAGCTCGTCATGATGGGGCAGCCTCGCGAACTGGTTAGGAACGCTCGGATTGTGCCACGGGCGGCCAGCGGGACAGCCGTTTCTACAGGTCTCCCTGGCCAGCGGGTCGATGCAGTCCTTCCGGCATCGGTTCGACGAATGCCTCCCCTGGACCGAATCTGTCACGGCAACCCCCACTCGAGCTCTGGTTGTATGCTGGCTGACCCCGAAACGCGCCTAAGAGAAGGCCAGAAGGGAAGATCTTCCTCCTAAGGGATGGTAGCTGGGGGGCCGCGGCCCGACCGTTGTTGGTCGGGCGGGCAATGCACATACTTCGATTTTCTCTTGCGCGATGTAGGTTTCCATACTTATGAGTGCAGCGCCGGTAGCGCCATCTATTGATGAGCTAAGTTATTACTACCTCCTTGTTGGTTATATGTGGGGCGTGTAGATGTTTCCGCCACACGGTTTTTTCCATGCGCACGGTACTAACAAACCCGGCGGGCGACAGGCGCCCTACTACCAGTAGAGAGGATGGAAGTCAAAAATATTTAAAAATAAGTCTTTCGAAGGTAGCTCGACAAAATAAAAAAAACCGACCAAGTGCGATTCGGACTCGCGCTCCGAGGGTTCCGTACAAACCTGTAGGTATACAGGGCGTCACACGGAGGGAAAGTATATTAAATATTGAAAATAGGATATTTTACTGAAAGAAGACATTGTTTTATTTTTAATAATAATTAGAACTACATTCACAGTTTTTTTTAAAATCGCCTGCTACAACTGGGAATCGAACTCGTGAAATTTCGAAAAAAGAAACTCGACATATTTTAAGATAACCATCGAAAGGGTTAATCATGAGGATAATTTTTTGCTAAATAACGTGGGACGCTCTGTATAAGTAAAAGTTCACCCATCACGACATTTGAGTCATAGTTATGGTATTTTTATAACATTACAACATGGAAAACTAAAAAATTACGGTTTTCGCAATTTTTCCTTTATCTGTACTATAATACGTTACTTCGGACCTGTAGGTTTTATTCCCGTGCGAGTTTCGAAAATTTGCGGCATAAACGGCTGTATCTTTTGATTGCTTTGGCTTAGAAGTTTGATTTTTTCACAGCTCCAAGGGACAGTAGAACTTTTTTTTTTATACGTAGGCCAAAAATACTATTTACAGACTACGGCGCCTTTAAGAGGCACACCGCCGAACGGACCTCACACAGGTGTGAGCCCCAGCAGTGGCTGCCCACTGAGGACCCCCTAACTCTCACGGGCGCTTTACGGCATAATATCCGTTGAAAAACCCTGCGAATACCCTCTAAGCTAGACCTGAGTATTTGATATGAACTTCAGTTTGATATCTCCATGCGTTCCTGAGAAAAACGGTCCTTGATAGACGGACGGACGGACGGACAACAAAGTGATCCTATAAGGGTTCCGTTTTTCCTTTTGAGGCACGGAACCCTAAAAATCATTATTCCGACGACGCATTCACACAAAGGATGCGAAACGTCAATTTTTTTTATAGATATATCCGACGAATGACTCCACTCCACCTGATATTAAGTGATGGTGAAGTCCAGACGTGAAAGCTGGTAAAGCAGTTCTACCTGCCACACCAGCCATCCTCACCCTGCCGGCCTGCATGTTGCTTCTCCACGCCTCTTTTAAAGGATCCCAGGTTGTAAGAAGGAGGGACCACGTGAGCAGGCAGAGCATTCCATTAACGAAATAAATAAAACCAGTGCATCTAAACCGTTGAAACTTGTTTTACCTAAGTCGCTTCTTAAGACGCCCACGGAAAATAAACAATGGTGAGTAGTACTTATTCTTTCTCCGTCACCGTACGCGTTTTTATAAAGCCACTGTATTTTTTTTTTTTTTTTTTATTTTATCTTTATTTGGGAAACAAACAATGAATTAATACTTATACCTAGATCTAATTAACAAACATAGGTACATCAATAAAGTTTCCACTATTATATAAAACATATAAAGGAGTTCAGGTAGTTAAAATTGAGAAAGAAAAAAGACGTTAATGTTTTTTTACCAATAAAACAAAAAAATAACAAGTTTTGTTGGTTAAAATTAATAATTATGAACTATCTACCATATCGTGAATATATTTTTTACAATTTTTGAGTGAACAGTTAAATATGTCGATTGATGTGAACCTATTGTTATAATCAATACAAGACCTTATCACGAAATTATTAGCAGTATATTTGGTGCTAATTATAGGCAAACTAAATAAACTTTTTAATAAACTCACGTAACTTATGCGGTGGACTCTAGATTCTTCTATGAAAGATTTGAAATTGGGAATCTTCTGTCGTTTGATAGAAGGTGCCAGCAGATAGACTTTAGGCACCGCACCATACGTTGATAGATTAAGCTCAATTATTATATTCGCCTGATTTGTAATAAAACAAAATATAAAATCAAAGTTAATTCAATTATTAGGGCTTACCCCTTCAGGGTAGATCGCCGCAGTACCTACCTTTCTCCTCCTTATTAAATCTCAGCAAAATCAATTCAATGGTTTTTTACATGAGAAAAAAAATATAACACACAGACGGAGCTACTTACTTACCTCTAAATAACTATTTCAAGTAGTTATTTTTCTATGAAATCTAATAAATCGCTTTCTGTTTCACGCTTTTAAGGAGTCAATTGATTTCAATTACAAATATTTGAATATTATAATATTTTATAGGTACATACTTTTCTTATCTTTTATAATAAAATCGTTTTGAAACCGGCTTATAGACTATTACACGCCCTTTACCTTACATCCGAGTAATTTTGATTAACCCATGTATTTTCTAAGTACAATATAAAATTGTTGACAAGTTGACTCTGTTCAGTTACAATGGATCCATCGAAGTCTTTGTTTGCTCTCACATTTATACTGGTTATTGTTGTAAGTACCTATTTCATTTGATTTTGATCCGTATAACGTTATATTCCTAGTTAAGTAACTTGGGGAACGATTTATTTATCTCTTTCATTTTTCGTGTTCAGCTGACTGTAAAATTGATATTTTTTGACTTCTTTCCTTTATTACGCCATGTTCAGTCTATCATCACCATCATCGGTCTTCCTCTCCGTGTAGGCTCTCCCTTATTATTTTTCAATATCTCTATTTGTTTCTGATTCTTTACTTTTCCATTCATATCCTATTCCTGACATTAATTAAAGTTTTCGACATATAAGTATATTGATTCTTCCTTAATCGTTCTTAATCAGCAATCATCTCATCATTCACTCAACTCAATTAACACACGCTTTTCCTTTTTTTATCTTCACGTTACATGCAATAAACCGGTCAAAATTCACTATTAATATTTATTAAGTAATTTGTTACATTATTAACGTCTGTGCCTACACATTGCAATCATCTATCACGTCGAATGTTCTTAGTGTCCTATTTTCCCATATTTCAGTTTTTTAATCATTTGATTTTATCACTGCCATTTTTCTATCTAATTATCTGCATGTGTATTCTTAATACCGAGTACCGGGTCTTATGCTGTTTTTTCGGTTATAAAAGCAGAAACAGCTTTTTTATTAGTATACAAATTGTCATAACTGTTTCAGGTCTCACATTCTTTTGAAGTACCAACTTCGCAGGAGATCAATCATGAACTTTTGGCAAACAATCAAAATGAAAAAAGTGTTAAACCCTCAAAGAACGAGGAATTTAATGAATCTTATTATACTGTAGATAACCTCCCCAAAAAATACAAAGTTCTGTTATCAAAGAGTAAATCGAATGATTTCCACAACTGGTTTGATAATAAAAATCCAAGAAACAAGGTTGTTAAAATAATCTACAGGAAAAGAACGAAAGGATCACTAAATCGGAGCAATAATAAAGATTCCAAAAATATGTTCGATTGGTTACATTCTAATAACTATGTGAATGATATTGAAAGTGGACATTCGTTTTATTCGACAGGAAATCATAAATCATCGTCTCGTCATCATAAACAATATGAGAATAGTGTAATCAAATCTAAAGTGCATAAACCTAGAAGGCTACATAATAATCACGGGAGCAACACAATAATACGCAACGTGAAATATGTAACAAATGTTCACCGTCACGACAGAGATGGAGTTCCAGATTCATCTGATGTCATTTTCGAAGAGCACCATTTGCCAAAACTCAAGGTAAATCCCACTTTTTTGTTTTTGTATAAAATCATTTGTATTGTTTTGATATTTCATATAAAAAACTTTAGATAAAGTTTGGTTATAGTGAAGCCTATATTACGTAGCAGTACAGGTAATATTAGAGGGTCCACTGGTATTTATACAAAGCTGCTCCAACTGTTCTTATTTGTAAAAAAGTAGACGCGATTGTATTTAATATCAGGTAGTTACAAATTGTTATTGGTTACAAATGTTTACCTTATGTGTGGTGTTTCATTGATTACAGAATTTAAAAATAGATTGGGCTAATTATGATGTAAAGAGAGTGTCGCACAATCAGCCGAAAGTATTAAAATCAATAAAAATTGTTAACAACGATTACATGGATGGGGTCTCTAAAAACCATAAAGAATTTGATCTGAATAATATTACCTCCGAAGATATGGAAGATGTTGATTCCGAAGAAGAACACAAGGAAAACAGTACAGAGGTAATTCCACCTGAAAATGTAACGGATAAAGAGAATAGTCATGAATACATGTCTCCTGAAGACGTCCATGATGAAGGGTTTAATTCTCAAACGATCTCTCATAAAAAAGTTCCATCATTATATGTTGTAAATGAAGATGTTACTGATGAAAATTTTGTTAATGAAGATGCTACTGATAATGAAAATTCTGTAAATGAAGATGGTACTTCTAACACAGATGTTCCTCTTAGAAATGGTATTCCTAATAACATTATTGTAACAACTGAACCTAAAGACATGCCTAACGAAGACATCACTACTGAAGATGTAACTTCAGAAAATGTAACTTCAGAAAATGTAACTTCAAAAAATGTAACTTCAGAAGATGTAACTTCAGAAAATGTAACTTCAGAAAATGATAATTTTAGAGAAGTGCCTGATCATGATGTTACTTCTGAAGACATTTCTGTTGAAAATGATTTCAATAAACCGCCATTTGAATCGGTCAATAATGTAGTTTCTAAAGAAGACACTTCTAATACTACTGATTTAGATGTATCACCTGAACATGTATCATCTGAAAAAAAAGCTACTGACATTGTTTCCAAAGAGCTTATTACTGATGATAACATTTCTGGAGATGTTTGGTCTGAAGACGGTGTAAATAACAAAATTACATCAGAAGACGGACGAGACGGGAATCCGTTTAATAATGTTATCGGAAATGACAATAATGAAGACATTGTCTCTGATATATCCCCTCAAGCTTCAAATAATGTGGATGACAGTTCTGAAGTAGGCCGTAGTAGTGCATTCAAGGTTAAACCAACGAAAACCCTAATGATGAATAAAGAAATTTTTTCAGATATGCCGTTTGAAAACGTAATTAACGTTTTGCAAACTAAACCAAAATCCAAATACTTGAAACAAGGCAGTGAATTTGAGAAAAGCGTGAATAATTATTGGGTGACATCAGTAAACAATGTAAACCACAAACCTAGAAAAGTGTCAAGCCCTGGATCAGAGGTGCCTTTTAACTATAATCCATCAGAATTAGTGATCTTTCAAAAAATGTTGACCGAAATTTGTAATAAAGCAAAGAAATTACTAGGAAGCAAACCAACTGCCGCGGTAATTAATAGATTGAAACTGATTCTGAAAGAATTGAATGTACTTAATCAGTTTTTAGATAAACACACTTATATAAGGATCGATGATAAATCCCTACCAATCAAAATAAAGGAATTTATTAAAGACAAAACAAGAGGTAAGGATGATTTTTACTCCGACCGAGATGAGTCTAGTGATTACAATGATACTGAATTTCCAGTATTAGTACCCATAATTCACAAACTTAATACCCGTTTAATACCGGATGATAACAAACAGGAAAACCCGATTGGTGAAAGTTACTCTGCAATGATAAACCAACTACTACGAGATCTGAAGCAACTCAAACCACAATATTACGACCCAACAATACAACCCCAGTTCGAGGAACTGGTTAAATATTTGCAGAACTTTTTACAGAACAGCCGTAAAAACTTGAATCCGAAAGAATTGCCTTACATGAAAACGTATCTAATTCCAATCGTTCGAGCTTTGCGTAACCAACTGGAAAAAGGTCCTAAGTCACCTAAACTAACGCTGAAATGGAACATCAGTCTGCTTTTATCATTTTTACACGAACGGATGGATAATGATTCACCTGATACACATTATGACTGGAATGGGAAAGAGTATCAAAATCCAGGGAATGAAACTTTTGGTAAAAATTTATATGACGTCTTAAACAGTAGGGAAAGAGGTTCTGCTGATGACCCAGTGTTTTTTCTAGTACAGTGGCTTTCCAAAAATGATGACAACGACAATATGAAATGGGACATCGACGAAAGCACAGTCAGGAAAGTCTTGACATTGTTTCAACAAAACGGTATAACCATTGAAAATATAAGGAAATTGATACTATACCTATATCATAAGAACTCTAACGGAAACAACAAAAATGATTGCACGACTAAAACATACAACAATATATTGAAGAAATCATTGAAGTTCCTGAATTTTGTGTCACTTCTTACAACGAAAGAGAAATAGTATTATAGATGGAACCTGAATGTAGAATAATAATTCCGTAACAAGTAGCTACTAATAAGAAAAAACGTAATAGTATATGAGGAGCTGGAGAACTAAACGGTATAATTATGCATCTGGTCAAACTGCTTTTTTTTACAAGCCGGAGGTTTCGGGCCCGTTGAATTTGAATCTCAAATAATTTTTAATCAAAACCGCCTCAAAATGAAAACTTAAAAAAACCTAAAACACCTTGTTAAAATTACTAAATTTGATTCATTAATATCCCTTAATGTACCTCTCCCTACTTCTATTCCTTCCTTATTGTATTATAAAAATTATAATATATATAACCAGCTATCTGAATTCCTAACTAAACATAATATAAAATTATAAGTAATTTATAAGAAATAATATAATGTATTTTATATACTTAAAAAGACCTATAACTTACGTTTCAAATTAATTTTACATATTTACCTTCCAAATTCCGTTTCACAACCTTTTTATTTCATTATTTTGGTTTCCTTACCTTTTACCCTGTCGTGGCCAATGCACAAACCGTGCGAGCCATTATAATAATAAAAAAAAAATACTAAATTTATAAATTAAAAACCATGACAAAAGCTCACTGGAGGTATGTCATTCGGTCTATACAGCTCTTGCAAAATTTAATTTTATGTAATTGTACTGTTTTATTCGCCACCTCCTCATATTTTTGCAACAAATTTAAAATTTTGGTAAGCCGAATACTAAAAAAACTGTTTCGTATCTTAGTCTATGTTAAGGATTTTAAACGTTAACTACATTTCCTATACTGCCGTTCTCAAAATAAAGTGCTGCTAAGTGCATATGGTTGATTTTTCAGTCTTAAATTGCATCTTATACACTTTTTAATTCTCTATCGATCTGTCTTTAACAAGTATAAAATCCGTCATGTGATGAATGGTTACAAAATAGCAATAATTTAAAGTTTACACGTTGTTTTATTGGTCATATCTCAAAAGTGGGTTTTGTTATTTAGCCGCGTTTTAGCTTGAGGAAGGCAGTGTAGAGTTACCTACCCGAATCATCTCATCTTGTCTGAAGTGTTAATTTTATAAAATATATACAATAAAAATAAAACACGTCTCTTATTTCTGCAAAATACTAACAATGCTTTATTCATACTCTTGTCCTGTTAAGTTAAACAATTTAAACGCATCTTTCCTGAAAATTGTTTAATTCTAAAGATTGATTGAAGTAAAGACAAATAAAAACCACCATGATTACCTAATGGTTTACGATATCAAATAAACTGATTTGAGCTAACACAATAATTTTATTGACCGTGTTCAAAACGTTTAAATCTATAATTTAAACAAGTCTTATGTAGTACCTCTCTTCATAAATGGCTAATTTAATTTCACACTCGCTAATTTGCGACTACGCCAATATAATATCGCTTCCTAAGTGAAAATCCACTCAAAATAGATTGTATAGCCCGTCATGGTGTATTATTTGGTCGTGTTTTCATTTCTCTTAGTGGCTACAGCGTTTTCGGAACCGGTAAATACGTAAAACAATAGTTTGTTATCTCACATCCCTTGCTTGTTAGAGGACACCTAATATTGATCATCATCAGCAGCCTATTAATGTCTCCACTGCTGGGGCACAGGCCTTCCCTATGGATGGAATAGGGAGAATAGGCCTTGACCTACCACGCCGGGCCAGTGCGGGTTGGCGGTGCTAACGACTGCAGATGCAGCTGGGACCAACGGTTTAACGTGCCTTCTGAAGCAAGGAGGAGCTCGAGATAGTAAATTTTTGGTCCAATCCATCCAATGACCGTCCATATAGCACATATATATAGCACATAGCGACATCCCTTTCTAACTATGCTCAAGACTAAATTCATCACTGAGAATCTTTCTATAAAGTGTCCATTTGAGGAGCTCTATGGCGCAAGTAGTTAGCGCGTCCGGCTGCGATCGTTGAAGTTAAAAAACTTTCGCAGTACCGTCCACTGCGAAAGTTTTGGATGGGTGACCAAAAATTCCTTTCTAACTGTACTCGAGTAAAGATCAACACTTAGTTGTCATTCTGTAATACGAGCCTTAATATAGATAAAAACGTATATTCAATAATTATACCCTAATAACGTCAAATTTGGTATAGTTAATGAATGTGTACATGCCTACGTTTCTTACGACTTTAAATAGGTATTTATGTGAGTACTAAATATTTCTTTAATCCTAGAACAGCAATTTAGGTACAAAAAAAATTTTGATAAATTAGTTTATATTAAATACAAGATTTAGATTAAATGCATAGGTTGTAATTCCTTCCACATACTTAAATATATATTAAGGATTAATTGAGCACCTGTGGACCCCTCATACACATGCTCAGTAAGAACCACTATGATTTCTGTCGCCATCAGTGCCGTCTTTGACTTATTGGAGGCCCTGGGCATATTAGGATAATGGGGCCCCTATGACCCCCGTTTTGTGATTTAACAGGAACTAGGGACTTTGTTTTTGAACTGAGGGGGGCCCCTATCAATCGCGGGGCCCTGGGCACTTGCCCAAAATGCCCACCGGGAAAGAGGGGCCTGGTCGCCATATTATATGACGACCTCCGTGGCCGAGTGGTTTGTACGCCGGGTTTCATGGTGTCGCCGAATGGTTTCCCGGGTTCGAATCCCGATCGGGTCAGATGTTTGTGTGTTGAATACGAGCATTTGTACTCCATTCATGGATGTTTCATACGTATTTCTCTATAAATATGCTTATATATGCACAGTATATGTAATCTATCCGTTACCCTAGCATCCTATAACACAAGCCTTACACTGCTTACTTTGGGGCTAGGCTAACTGGTGCGAGTGTCGGAAATATTTATTTATTATATTAGTTACCTACCAGTAACGCTACTGAATATTAAGTTAGAGTAAAGACACTAAAGTTACGACGCCTGAATATAAAATTTGAATCAGGTGCTTGCATGCGATAAACGTGCAGCTAACGTGAGGTCACGACGCCCATAACTACGCCACAGCCCACAGCCCACAGCCCTTTGATATTTAAAACGGACACTAATATGGATGTTGCGCCAACTTGCGGTCCGTCATTCCAACACATACCAAGATAAACTCAAACAATGTTGGCCAACTCGAGGCAAACGGGTACCCAATATATAAGATTCTGAGATGCCAACCTAATGCGTAATGCATTTATTTCATCTTTTATGCTATGGCAATGTCACGAGAAATGTATTTAAGTAAACCTATGTCGTTTAAGTGTATTTGATTTTGGGAACTAATTTATGGAGCTGTTATTTAAATATTCGAGATGTTATTATGATCAGTTGAAAAACATATTAAGCAGTTATTTAATTTAATGGCGGTTGATTAATTATTGCGCCAGTCAAACATGGACAGTAATAAAAAATCAATAAATGCGGTTATTTTATCATACAATGTCATTTCTAAAAATAATTGAGCAGTCCAATAACTGAATGAGCGGTAAAAATGATGGAATCAGCGGTTCGATAAATAGTTCGGCAGATCATAGATAGCGGTGACACCCGAACTCAAATTAATTGAAAAGAGAGGTAAATGTTCGTTAGTTGGGCGGAGCTTATTAGCGCGGGTGGCCTGCTCTTATTATACAATAAGTTTATTTTAGCTGCTACTAAGCAAATTCTATGTCATTTTAGTTCGAAACATACTTAATGTTTCGAATTACGAATAAAAGATCCTATTATTATTATGCAATTTGTTTTATTTAATTCCTTCAGTCAAAGCAAAAGTAATTTAATTTTTAATTTCTGTTTAGGTACTGTTTTTCTTTTTATTTTATTTTACCACCTCATTGTTTATAGGATTGCTTAGAATGAGATTTCTTACCAACAAATTCCGATTTATTACTGCCAAAACGTAACCGCTCGTTCGCCCATTTAATTATTTTCCTGCTCAATTATATATTCACTGATCCATTTCATTATACATTATTACTCATTTTTGTTTACTTTACTGCTTAGTTTTAACTGATGAACTAGTTATTAAACGTGCCATTTATAATTTTTAACTTACCAAAACTGCTATTTACAACTGCCTCGTTAAATCAGTGCTTTTGATTTTTAATTGCGCAGGTCAATGGACCACTTGAAGCACAAGTGAAAGAAAACTTAGTTAAAGATGCACCACAAATTTTGACAACAGGGAAACCACTCATGAGTAAGGTAAGAATTGCTGTCTATCCTTATCTATAGCTTTATGTACTTAGTTAAATAGTAGGTACGCTTTTACCTGTACCCTTAGTACGAGTTTTACAATTACGAAACCTATGATAGTTTTTGTGAGCTCTCACCGTATTAAGAGTGCTGATTTTATTGTTTTCGTTTCAATACAAATAAACAGTGTTTAAATTCTATCATTAAATCATTTGTTTCCTATTAAATTTCACCAAAATGGACATAGAAACATAATTTACAATTACGAAAACTATGATAGTTTTCGTGAGCTCAAACTCGTACTAAGGGTACTGAGGCATCTTATTTTTTTATATAAAATGTTCATGAAAACCAGTTCCGACGGTATAGATGCACTGATTTATTTATTTATTGACATTCCACATCCATTTCAGGATGCGTCGAATAAATTATGATTTTATCTACATTGTCTGAGCGACCTTCTAAAGACTTTTTCTTTAAGATAAAAAATAAACAAATATAGGATCTTTTGAAGGTAGCTCGGACAACGTATACAAAATCATTTATATAAAAAATAAGTTAGAAGAACTTTAATCTTAGGCCCACTTGCAGCTAATTTGCTAACCCTCGATTCAACTAAAACTAGATTCGATATTCTAGTTTTAACATTTTCTATGGGACATATTTTGTGTTAATTGAATCGAGATTTAGAAAATTTGCAGCAAGGGTGTCTTAGGCCCGTAATATAGAAAGATTCTCAGTGATTGATCTAGTCTTGAGCATAGTTAGAAAGAGATGTCGCTATTTATAGCATATAGCGACATCCTTTTCTAACTGTACTCAAGTAAAGATCAACACTTAGTTGTCATGTCTGTAATACGGGATTTAATCTTTATATATATATTTATATCCTATTTATCTATTGTATTTGTATTGAAAAAAAACTAATTTATATTTTTTTATAGGAGGGTGCACGTTTAGGTCTACCGATAGTCAATAATGTGACGCAAGATCCGAAATGCCCTTACGCTGGTACACTGCTGCAACTGCTAGCTACGCTTCTGGAGTTTCTCCATCACTCGGTAGAAACTGACAAGGTGAACAAAGTTGTAGCGATAATGAAGAATTATTTACAAAACGTTCCTCTGCGTGATGACAAATATGAACTATACAGGAATCTGAAATACATTGAAGACAATCTACACAGCAAAAGTCCTTTGCACGATTATTTGACAACAGGACTGCCCAACGTCAATACGAAAACAAGTATTGTATTCAAGAATGAAGTCCCGAACCTGAGACAGCCGGGATGCAAAAATGAGTTTTCCAGATTGCTGCAAAGAGCTTACAATGACTATGCAGAACTTGCCAAGTTTCCGAATTGCCAGCAAAGCACATTCACCTCAAACAATGCCTTTACTTTCCCTGATGCAAATCAGAATTACGCATTTGATATAAACTACAGCAATTCGCCTGACTTCTCTTACAATGGCAATGATAATCATAATTTCAATATTGTGCCACCTGCTTTCAATACTCCATTCTACAACATACCAAATAAAAATCCTGAAATTCTTAACAATTTGCCTAAAACAAATAACGACCCCTTAAATGTATTAAATGGGGTACCACAAAACAAACCTTTGGATGTGTTGTCCGTCATCAAGAATAATCCTTCGCAATATGGAATAATAATCAAACAATATCTCAAGGATCACCCTGAAGCAATCGCTGAGTTGCTTAAACCTCCAAACTATTTCAGTGGCTATCCGACTGTTGAATCAAATCAGAATCCTTCAGGACATAACCCCACTGCAGATTTAAAAGATTTCAACTTACAAAACCATCTTCCTGATGGTTTTCTCTCTCCATTGCCTTCTTTCAATGTTAATATCAATAACATCACCACATCATCAAACATACCTCAGTTCGATGGTCTAAATGTATTACCGCCAGTAGGAAATAACCAAATAAACACGCCAAATAACAACGTCGACTATAGCGTACTACTTACTCAATTAGGTTTACTATACAAACCAGAAAGTAATAACCGAAATAATAATAATCCACTGGAGAACATAATAAATCAATATGACCCCAAATTGAATAATCCCGGTATATTTTTAAATAATCCTAACAATGTTGGAAATGATTTTACAGTGAATAGCAATCCATTTAGTTCACCAATAAATAGTCTGAATGGAATACCGAATCCAATCATTAGCGACAGTCAAAATAATAAAGATGCGTTTATAGATAAGAAGAGGATTCCCATACAGTATGATAGATTTACTGTGAGTCATGATATGACACCTTTTATATTAGAATATATCGCATCTCTGAAGAATCCGGCGAATCCAAATAGCTATTTCGGAAATCTTAATAACAATAACGGGGCTCATGTCGTCGATAACAATATGGTCTCGCCTGATTTGTCACAACTGAATGGCGTGACGCATTTGGAAAAATTGGATAACAAGGCAGGCATTGTCGAACTAACATACGTCCTCAAGAGACCGAAACCACTCGTTTACCACCCAGTATATTACGTGAAGTATAGTTTACCATACACGAAATTCGTGCAAAATTATAGAAACCTAGTTTTAAATAAGCCGTTTTTAAGGAGTGAACCAGCAAGAATTTACCAGGAGTTGATATCTTTGTCGAACATCACCAAAGTTTCTCCAGCTTTAGAAGGGCACGATAAAGAAGAAATACTAAAGCTTATGGCTAAAAATGGTACGTTAGTAAAAGCGAAGCTTATCGATGACAAAAATGATGCTTTAAACGAGCAGTTAGAAATTATAAAGGAATTGAACTCTAATTCGACTCCATTGGATATTCGTCGTCTGACTGAAGCAGCGCTAAATCAATCTGACTTATTATTGAATGATAGTCGAAAGAACATCAGCAATGTACCATTTCCGGGTAGTGTAGCCGATGTCATAGCTAATTATAAGCCAACGTCTGTTAGTTTAAACCGTGATCCAAATGTTAATCCAATCGTAACACCTTTTGGGAATAACAATCCATTTTCCAATTTATATAACAATAATTTGGTGAATCCTACAGTTACTGATAATCCCTTGACCCACCCCAATATGGTTTTGAATAGCAATGCGTATACTATCCCCAAAAGTTGATAATTATTACAAGCCGTTGATTAAGGAGCAGTAAAATCGTCATAACTACAACATACTCGTAAAAACACTTCCACTATTCAAGCTTTTGTGTCATCAAGCTATCGAATTTAGGAAAAAGAAGAATTTGAAGATTTGTAAATACGCAAAGTTAGAGCTAACTATAAAATAACACAAGCTACAGTTTTAATAAACGTTATGAAATACAATAAACAGGTTTTATATACTGGGTTTTATTTAAATTCTCCTCATAATAATGCTGGGCATCCAAGGATTTTCTAAACAAGCCAAAACTACATACAGATAACTCTGCCATTATTTAGTCAAGATTTCTATAGAACTGATGTTGGCTGAGCTGAGAAACACGCCGTTACCGCGATGGCGACGGCAACGTCTTATAAATCCTACAATATTATAAAGAAAAGTAATTATTTGGCACGCCATTTAACAATTTTGGTTAGCAAAAAAAGCAGCCTAAAAATTATTTGTCTTGCATACAGAGATTTTATTAGAAGTAATAAAAATCAGATTAGGTACAATTCTTGTCTTATAAAAAATCGTGATACAACAATCATATCTATTTTAAAACACCTACTGATTACACTTAAATACATATCAGTAAACCAAATAGAATATTTTTGCTATAAAAAAAATAAATTATTGGCATTAGTTAGACGAATAGATGCTAATACTGAGATTTTTGTCATCTCTTCCTGTCATGTCAAATGAATACTTTTACAAGTATTAAACATTTGAAAGAAGAAAATAGCAATTATAGTTATAATTTTCATTTTTTAAGCATGTAAGTGCTTACCGGGATTGTTTACCACTACTACTTATGGTGGGTTACCTACACTGCGAAGAGATGGCGCTACCTTGCAGCTTAAAAATGGCTAGAAGAATTTCGACTCGGCCATCAGGGCCGCGGTAGCATAATTGGTCACTGCATTCACCCGGATAGCGAAGGGTGCGGGTTCGACCCATCTGCTGCCTGGTACGCGTGGATTTTTTTCTAGTTATATTTTCTTAAGATTTAAACATCAAGCAGTTACATGCTTTAAAAAAAATTTAACTATAAAACTATTTTCTTTGATATTGTTAGATGTGTTGTGTACTACTAACTCGTGTGGGTGTGATTTTATGGTACTTACCTACTTTAATGTGTGACTGACATGGAACCTACTCTTAAAGTGCCAACAATTGGGTAGCTTACCCTTTATTGTAGGGTATTCAATTCCCAACTGTTAAATTTTTATTTTATTCAAAATGATTAAAAGGAATTTCAAACGATATAGCCCACAGTTATTCTGATAAAATCGTCATCGTTCTAAATCATTGTTCATTTATTTATGGTTTCTAGTGCATTTTTTTTATAATAAAGTTTATTTTGCGTACTGGCTTCAAATTTCAGTTTTATCAAATAAGACTTTGGAACAATTTAGGAACAACTAGAACATCTTGAAACAACCAACTACAAAATTGTAAAATTGTAAATATTGAATTTTCAAAAATGGGGGGCTACCATTAAATAAGTTTTTGAAGTGAAACTTCTTTATCGGCGTTGGAAAAAAATTTACCGTCACATTTTTCGGTTACGCGTCACATTTTTCCGTTACGCGCCATCTTTTTTTATATTAATAGTTGATAGCTAAATGATCACACTGTCGCCGGCGAGAACTCTCTCTACTCGTTTGTAGCTGAGTGACAATAGTTATTAAAGATAAGACTCGCTCAGCCAAACTCGCATAGCGATACTCGCTCAGCGATACTCGCTCAGCGGTACTCGCTCAGCGGTACTCGCTCAGCGGTAAACGCTCAGCGATACTCGCCCAGCGATACTCGCTCAGCGATACTCGCCCAGCGATACTCGCTCAGCGATTCTCGCTCAGCGATACTCGCTCAGCTATACTCGCTCGGTTAAGCTGGCTTGGCTGTCAAAAGCCGTGCGCGTGCATTTTAACTCAGGACTGCCAATTCGTTTCTAGTTTCTACTCGCTTATCGTTCATCGTCGGAGGTGGAACATGTGCCTTAGATTACTGAGCCGTGTAATCATAACAGTTTCATAGGCAGTAATTTGTATTAATGTCTATGATAATAAAATCCTTTTGTTTAAACTTTATCTAATTTAACTTTATTTAACCAATTTCTGGAAAGTTGCATGTAGATCATTTTTCGAAAAATAAGGCCATAAAGAAGTTTCACTTCTTACGTGTGTACACTAGTACACGCACACATTTTTTTTTGCGTAGTGGCTTCAAATATTTGTTTATTCAAATAAAACTCTGAAACAATGTTAGGGACAACTAGAACAACTTGGAACAACCAAGAAAATATTGAATTTTCCAAAATAGGGGGCTGCCATAAAAAATGTTTTTGTTTGTCTTAGCTTAAAATTCTTGTAACTTTAAATTCTTGTTGTTTCAAATAAAACTTTGGAGCAAACATATAACAACCTGATATTAATAAATTTCAAAAAGTCCCCACTTTTCAACTAGCTAACTTCTCTGCGGTAAGAAATCTGAACAATAGGCTGTACAGTCAGATCTTCCTTTGTCTAAGATTTTAAAAGTAAAATGAAGTAAACAAAAACATACTGAATTGCCGAAATAACACTTTTAATTAAAATTTGTTTAAAAAATAGGACATTAGTGAAATAGTTATTTGTGTATTAAAGTGGTACCTTTTCTGTGCATAGTGTGGTTCTAAACTTCTAAAACATGCAAGGCCGCCCAAAATTCATTCGACCAAGTAAGTGCATTATTTAAAACTAAGTCTTTTTTAACAGGATCCATAATTTTATGATTATTATAAGTTTATAAGCTGCTTACAAGTGGATTTAAAATTATATAATGTGGTTAAACCCGGTTTTCTTTATTACCTAACCTAAAAATAGGTTAATACACGGTCTAACTTGAAAATTAACCTGATTGACGAAGAAAAATAAGTTAGGGATCACCCTTATTCTAATTGGATATTCGAGTATGATCGACAAACGATTCAGCAATATCTCATACCCAAAAGAAGACGGCTTAATAAAATATACTATGTAAATATTAATAAATCAATGAAGAGAAAGCCAGTTTCGCAACATTGTGCTATTAACAGTATAATATCACGTCCTCAATGATATATCTAAACCAATTATTTAAACAGTGAGATTTCATACATGAGACAAATTGTATTCACAACAATTTCTAAAACCTACTTTTTTACTAACAGGTGAAGATGACTTGTTGTACCCAAAACGCAACAAAGATGGAGCTATTGAGACTTTAGTTAATCCGAACACAGAGACAGCTTTAACGGTGGATGGTGATGCTCGTACAAGCTTTGTTTACAACCGGTATCACCATTTGCCACTTGAGACTCAACGGCTGAAGCTACCTGTGTTCCAATATAGGAACCACATACTTTATTTGTTGGAGAAATATCAGACATTGGTGTTGATCGGTGAGACGGGATGCGGAAAGTCAACGCAGGTGCCACAGGTAAGTGTATCTTTTAATTGTTTATAGTATTACTAACCAATTTAGCTAATAGATCTCTTAATAACTATCACCTAAACTTATGAACAAAAAAAATATGGTTTGTAGAAATATAATTAAGGATAGAGAAGACAAAAGAAGAAAGTCTGCACATAATGAAAAGATGAGTTCTTAGGGTACCTATTCCAGCAATTCACACTTTAGTGGTTGGTTTGGCGCCTTTGTTCTAGCACGAGTCTACAATGCAGTAATTAGATTCTGTAATTTGAAATCCTGTTCTGCTTGTTAGGCGTAAACGGTTTTGGAAAATAGGCTACTAACTCTAGACTTTCATTCTACAGAGGAACTTCTATGTTGTTGTTTCTAGGTCAATCTCATCTTATAAGTTTAATTTATTTCATTTTTATTTGTTTCTTAGGTTTTCACGCACATCACTCATTAAATAAAGCTAGTTTATACGGGTTAATGCACGAAACTCTATTTATTTATTGACGTTTCGCAGCCTTTTCAGGTCTGCATCGTCAGAATAATGATTTTTTATTTAAAATTGTCGAGCTACCTTCGAAAGACTTATTTCATTTTTTTTTTAATTTATTTAGAAACCAACTGCGTTACAAAGTATATATGCATACCCACATGGATCTAAAGTATAATCTAAAAGTAAAGATAATTACAGGTTTTCTCTAAATACATAATTATTTGTTTAGGCAGATGTAACTCATGAAATTGTTTTTAAAGAACTTTAACTTATGATATTCAATTTAATCGAAAATCTAAGAAGACAAAAAAAATCTACTAATTGCCTTCGTAAAACTTACACGAGAGGTATACCTGCAAAATCTCTGTGTAACCTTCTAAAAGATCTTGGCCTGTTGAGAACTGCAGTAAGTTCAATTTTGAAACGAGTAACTACGACTGCACTAACTGGCTCCTATCAAATTTGGCTAGGAAGGGCTGGCAACTCGAGCAGTGAAAGTGAGCATTGATGCGCATCTTAAAGGGGGCCTCCCTTAACCTAACTGCTCGGAGTTTTTCTCTCCCACATGATGGACTCGGCACCTTGAATCCATGGATTGCTTAGAAGTTTTGTGTTGTTATTGCCTAGTTTAGGAATGTATGTGTATTTAGTTATGCATTCTTCCAATTCACAACTACTCCATATTTGTATCTGCAATGTGTATAGGTATTATTACTTTGTGCAGATAAATATAATTATTATTATATTTGTATCAACTGTCTTAACCCACTTGAGAATCTCTCTGATTTTTTATACACGTACTAATGTATCTGTTACGGAAAAGCGGGAAAATGGTGTTTGATATACGGAACACTAGTAATGTGTACTAATTCACGAGTTTGTGATAGTATTTAATTTTATTTAAATAATAAGGACGAACAAATTTTTATAAATATTTATTATTAGGCCAAAATTTCATTCTACCAGTAACAGTTATTAATATGTTCACTTTGACCCACAATGTACGTTGAAAATCCCATTCTGCTGGCTTATTCGTTGGGTATGATAACAAATATTTATGTGAGTGGTAAAAGCTGTTCCAAGAAGGACACCACGCCTCTCTCATTCTGAAAGAAATTTGATGGCGTGCTTTAGACCAGATAGGCGATATCGACGGCAACTGCAAGGGCGGGAGTTGGTCCAATGTCTCTCGGATCGGCATGCATCTATCTATCTAGCACTTGGCATCTTCCCCGTTTAGAAGCCACCGCATTATATCTTTGTAGAATCAGTTGTGTGCCAATGAGCCATGGTAGAGAGGCAGTCCTGATGAATCCAGTGATAACTCGCATGCTTTCATTGAGCTGAGTATCAACCTTGTTAGTATGGGCACTACGACACTAAACAGGTGCAAGCAGTATTCGACAACGGAGTACACCAGGGAAAGTGCAGATGTACGCAAAACTGTAGCCGAGGCCCCCAGATGGTGCCAATCCGCTTTTGTGCTAGGCCCTCTAGGGTGAAGATTACCGGGAAACCCTGCGTACATACCACTCGGCCGCGGAGGTCGTCAAGTTTCATTAATTCTAGGGTCAATATACTGACGATGATGATGATGTACCTATTGTTTGATGTTGTTAGTAATGGATGGTCGCCAATACCACAAAATAGAGAGTACAGAAGGTAATCTCATGCATGTACTTTGCTTTGCATACCTACGCTCGGCGCCGCGGCGGTCGCGCTAGGATTGTCAACTTTGGCTTGTGCACAAAAAAATCGTGGTTGTGGCACTCGCAGTCGTTTCTAGTTGTTTGATTTACTGTCGAGAATTAAACAGAACGAACTGAAATATGAAACCAATGATACCTTTTTAAAAAAAATACCGTTTAATGTTGAATTTAAACAACCGTCAATTGAACTGGTATAATAACTTCTTTTTTTTATTTGAATCTAAAGAACCTATTACTAGAAAAAAATCCACGCGGACCAGGCAGTAGACGGGACTCGAACCTGCACCCTTCGCTATCCGAGCGAATGCACGGACCATTATGCTACCGCGACCCAGATGACTGTGTCGAATTCTTTCTAACCTTTCTTAAGCTGCGAGGCAGCGCCATCTCTTCGCATTGTAGGTAACCCACAATGTGAAATGAATACCTTTACAAGTATTAAATATTTGAAAGAAGAAATAGCAATTATAGTTACAATTTTTATTTTTTAAGCAAGTCACCGTTGTTACATCTAAAGAAATTATTACTAGAAAACATCCTAAGTTTACACGCGTGTTTCAAGCAAGCGGATGTAATTCGCACTCGCAGTGGTCTGAACTGGTCCGAGATATTGTGTCGGTGAGCGGTGAACCTATGTGTTCGTTACTCGAGCGCACTTGATATGTCGATTACCTTCTGCACTGTCCATTTTTTGACAATACCTACCACAGTATCGGTACCGTACATAAACACACAACAGCATACTACATACATACGCTCGCATGGCAGCAGTGCATTTTGCATTTTCTCGAATCAGAACTATTTCAGTTCGGTTATTTATAATGAAAAGTACACGCCTGCCTTGATTATTCCTGGGTATTGTGTGAAGTCTAGATTTTTAGGCCACCGCGTGTTACGTAAAGTCAACAACTCGGCAGAAAAAAATAAACAGCGTGTGTACAAAGTACGCATGTCAGAAGTAGGGTTGTCACCTTTTTTATGCTCAAATAAAGTACATTGGAGGTTAAAGGTAGCAAAAAAAAGTACATTGTGTCCAAAATAAAGTACTTTTTATTCCACTTTATTAGTAAGCGTTTCTCTGAAGGATCGGATCAGAAATAAGGTAATCCGACAGAGAAACAGAGTTATCGACATAGCCCACCGGATTAGCAAGTTGAAGTGGCAGTGGGCTGGCCATGTTTGCCGAAGAACCGATAACCGTTGGGTTAGACGAGTTCTGGAGTGGAGACCGCGTTTAGGCAAACGTAGTGTAGGACGTCCTCAGGCGCGATGGAGTGACGATTTGCGCAAGCTGGCAGGAACTGGATGCGAGTTAGGGGTGCCCACTCTGAAAAAACATCGATGTATTTTTTAATTCGATACATCGCAACTATACATCGATGTCATTCGATGTATCGGATGAAAGCATCGATGTGTTTTAAACATCGAGTACTTTTTCTGAAATTTTATTACAAAACTCAACTTATGTGTAAAGTGACCCATCTCAAAAGAGGCCATCTTTTTATAGTAAAAAAAATTACTATTATGTTTATATGACCTTAATCCATAATTTTATTATAGTTTATATATTAATCTTTCATAAAATAAAAGAATTAACTCCTTTCACAATGAGTAGGTAAAAGTAAATACAAGTAAAAGCCATGTGTCAGAAAAATCTGTATTATATTTTTTTACAAAAGATCAAATTAAAAAAACACTAAATAACCCGCAAAATTTTTGCTAAGTCTGTCAAAAGAATATTAGAAATATACTTCAATCTTAGTTTCGTTCACAAAACAAAAGAAAGAAAGAAAGAAAAAGTATATAAAATCTAAAGGTTATTAAATGTTCATAAACATAGAAACTCGTAGTTATTTTTTATTGTCACTGCACTGACTCTTGCGCAGTGCTGCCAACATCGGGTCCATATCAGAGAATTCGGAATAATGATGCTTTCATAATAGTAATAAGTAAAATTTTAGTGGTCAAACTTAACTTTTTTTACTGAGGTCAAATCAAAGAGGATATTATCACTACGTGGTCAAACTCTATTACCAATTCGATGTTTCTTTAAAACATCGATGCATCGAGTATATTGAAAGCTTTTCAAAACATCGGATCGATTCGATGTTTTTCATTGCAAACATCGATGTTTTCGATGCATCGATGTATATCGAATATCCCTAATGCGAGTAGCCCAAGATCGATCTGTGTGGCGTGCATTTGGAGAGGCCTATGTCCAGCGGTGTACTTAGATAGGTTGTTGATGAGGATGATGATGATTAGTAAGCTTAAAAATATATTTTATGTTGCGTATAGCAACTTTTTAATGAATAATTTTTGGTTACTAAAAATCTGTAGTTCTTATCCGCAATGGAAAAGGCCATTGTACAAAGCCATACAGCCGCGACAATGTTGCAGGAAGGTGACATTTTATACATTCTGTGGTTCCGTTTTACGCAAAAATTCTTTTTATCCCCTTTTTGTATGTTTTATGTAGAATTAATCCCCAAGTAATCAAATCACATTAAATAAAGTATTTTCGCGTACTTTATTGTTGGCATACAGTATAGAGTACAATTACCCGAAATAACGTAAAATACATTATAATAAAGTACGGGTGGCAACCCTAGTCAGAAGTGAAACGGACTTTCATAATAATAATTATAAAAATATAGGTATATTAACATAATACATAATTTAATAAACGTAATAATTTAACAATAGTTATCTGATATTTCGTTGGAATAGGTACGTACATATACGTATATGGTGTGTAAGTATCATGAATCAGATATTATTTTTTACTTTTTAGTTCCATTTTTGATTTAGAAGGCGGTTTTTTTTTGTTAAAAAAGTTTTTA